GTTAAACGAGTAAGGGCCTAGTAAAAAAACAACACATGCTGTGTAGAGATAACTACAATAGCGCAATCTAAAAACGATTAAGCACAAATAGCATAAGTGAGGGTAAGTCACGATAAAAATCTATAGAAAATTATAAAGCATGAATTGGAGGACCTTAGAATCTACCGAGCAGTGAATGAAATTATCCCAAAATATACATTTTAGTTTGATTAGTATTAGTGAAGATGATAAGCCTTCGTTCTATTGAAATAAGTTAAAAGTGCGGTTCATATAAAAAGATACACAATGCAATCAACAGAGCTTAATATAATGTTTGCAGAAAAATTAATTAAGGTGAAGAAGAGGTTCAAAGGTGGGAGAAAGCTTGGATGGAGGATAATGAAGGGGCATACCGATAAGAAGTGTATGGTGAGAACATATCAGGTCCCGGGAACTCGAGAACTTCACGAATCGGTCTGGCCAGCGAAAAAGAATGGTCCCCGTGACCTGTGGGTGTTGATTTAGTCAATAATGCAGGTTGTGATTGCCGGCTTGGACGCGGAGTCCGGCATGCAAGATTTTCCTCCCGGCCCCCACTACCAGCTAGTCGACTTCCAAGACCGGTGCGACTAAATAAAAGAGGGTTAGGTCCGACACCAGTTACTCCAGTTGCTCTGGACCCATAACCGAAACTGCCTTCCTCGCTCCGTCCTGCAACACTACTTGAACGACGACCACGGAGCACATGTGGAGATTGAGGTAAGCCAACACCGCCATAACCAGAGGACAAGCGTGGAGCCCTGTGTGGTTGCGCTATCGCAGTCGAGCCTAAGGCCGTTTCGTTTTGACCTAGTAGCCGTCCTAGTGTAGTATCTAATGGCATGCCAGCTGAAGAAGCTGAGTAAGATGATGAAGAAGAGGCTGGCCGAGAGTGGATCAGATTTTCAGGGGTCAAAATTGGACTGGATAAGGGTCGTGTCGCTGCAAGCCAAGCTACAAGTGGCTCAGGCGGACTAGCAATGTGAAGACGGAGGCTCATTGATATACAGTTGACTAATTTCAAGCGTTTCAACAGACTTCCTCCAGAACTGGTGCCCATGTCACTGGAGTCGCTGGAGATTGGAACTGCTGTTGCTGTTGCTGAAGAACCAGGAGAGGTTGCAAGAGCAGAGCGGTGTAACTCAGTTAGCAGGCGTCCTAAGTCATCATCATTTAGTTTGTCGCAATCCTGAAAGGGATA